CATGCTCAGTAAATCTTTAATGTAATAGTAGTTTAAGATAAAGCAATGAAGCAATCATATTTATTGACTGTCAACAACATTTCATCTGCAGCATTTAGTTCTCCTGACAACCTAAATAATTAAGTGAGATTATTATGTCCATTTTAAAATGAGTAACCTAAGGAGTAGAGTATATGTGTCATGTCCACAAAGTGATGCTGAAAGTATACCGTGGTTCTGGGATTCAAGTCTATATAAATAAAAGCACATATATTCTATTGTTATCCCTGTCTTACAGTTTAATTCATAACCATTAGGGTCTGTTACTTTCAGCCTATTAATTCTGAAAACTTCTATTTGATCTATATCAAAACTTAAAATCAGCCAGTATCCACACACACACTTTCTTCTCCTTCTCCTCTCATGGCAGAGGTTTTCCAACTTTTATATGGGTCCAATTCCTCCACTCATGCTTAAGAAAACATACCCAACACATTCTCCCTCATTTTCAGAAACCCTAAACCAACTACTGTCTTTAAGGCCTTAAATAATTTCAATATCTGACTCATTAACAATGAAGGATCAGCAATTGAAAATGTATGTTTCTAATTGAAAATTGTCAAAAACTACATTCTTTATGGAGCAACATAACATATTTAAAAACTGTATTCTTTATGGAGCAACATTAGATATTTAATTTTGAACCTGTAAACTGTGATTTCACCCTGTATGCTAGATGTGATTAATTCACGTTGCATAGACTGTCGGTTTGAAAACTGAAAAAGAACGGCATTATCCCATTTAAGCAGGAAATGGTAGCTCTGTGTCAGGACTTGGGATGAACAAGAGGGAAAAGAAGTTGCCTCAAAATTAATCAGAAGTCAGTGTTAGACCCAATGCAGTCACAAAGCTTATAAAAAATTGACTTTCTACACAATTTATGTTTGCAAGGAGAGAAGACATAAAACAATGGTGAGCAATGCAGTTACAGAGCAGGGCAGCCTGTCCTTCGACCTCTCCTCTTCATCCTTGGTAGTAATGAAAATGGTCATTTTTAATGACCAAGGTAAAGATGGTTCTGTACTCTGCCTTACCACCATAATGATACACTTTTTTTTAATGATACACTTTTTAGAAGAATTTTTGTCAGATACTTTTGGAAGATTGAATCTATTTATAAAAATGAGAAAAATTAATAAAAAAATGTGAGAGAAAGGCAGATATATAAAGGCTGATCTGAAGATTTTCAGATATGAAAAAGAATTCAATCTTCTTCATATTATTTAAATCTAACCTAAAAATATGTAGATGAAGTATGTATGTATTGATACATCTTCTGTTTAGCATAATTTGTGATGATGAAATATGTAAGACAACCAAAATATTCATATGAGAAATCATTAAGCAGAATGCATTCATATCATGGAATACTATTTGGTCATTAAAAATAAATAGCTAGATGTGGCAGACTGTAAAGTGCAATTTTTCCTGGCTCTTCTGAACTATCTGCCCTGCTGATGGCAGAGTGGGCTATGAGTCCTGTTTTACCAATGAAACATGAATAGAGGTGATGTGAGTAGTTTTCAAGATGAAGATTTAAGAGTCAGTGTATTCCTCCTTCATGTTCTCTATAAAGAGAACCATTGTTCCAATTGGGGCTGCTCTAACACAGAGTCCATAGGCTCAATTCATGGAGCTTAGTCTCAGCTTTCTGTTGGTAGATGCATAGCAAATAAACCAGCAGACTGCGGTAAATCAACTGGATTCTGAGATTATAGGGTCACTTGTTATTACCACAGTGTGATTTATCCTGGATCAATCATGATGCAGATTTGTGCATATAAACAAGGTGGTCCCCATGGTTGGGGAGTGGTGGAAAATCCTAAGTTATACATGATGGTTCTGTCCTGCAGCTCCTTTGGAGTATTAGACTTTTTCCTCCACTATCAGATTTCACACGTGTCATGCTGGTTTATGCTGTGATATAACTCTAGTTAAAGACCTCGTGAAACAGGAGGGGAAGACAAGCAAGTTCCAAGGACAGCAGTGATTATGAAGGAAAGGTCTCTGCATTTTCTTCCTTCATGGAAGAGATGAATACTACCACTTATAGGGAAGGGTGAGCCATGTGCTCAGGTTGAAAAGATTCAGAGTATTCAGGGAAGAAAAAATCTTCACAGGCACCCACTCCAATGGCTCCATCATGCAGGTCAGTGTTTTTAAATAGTGATATATGCCTTTTATTACAGGTTAGAATATTATACCATTTATGTCCATTTTCCAGTAAACAGTGAAGTATTTTATATTATGTCTTTATATCTGGTTCATACACTCAATGAATGCTTAATAGATGAATGACTGTATGGTAATGCACCTATAAATAAAGAACATAACTTTAATGGTGACATTTTAGACGCTATTAGAGGCCAGTGTAGATATATAGAAAGGTACCCTTGAGCTTGAAATATTTCAAGTTTCATTATTAAAAGATTCAACTTTATAATGCTGTGGAAACATTGTGCAGACAAATAATGTTGCCTTGAAAACTGAAATAAAAATTCACGTGTGTGAAGTTCATATTGATATAACTGATTTTCAAAAGATAAAATTCATATAACATAACATGTTTCCTACAAGCAGGCACTGTTGCCCTTACAACATACTTGATCACTCGGCATGAAATTACTATAATTTTATTGAGCACTTTTTAAAGATCTAAGAAAGAAAAGAAAAACTGGCCATATGCTTATGATAAAGTTATGAACAAAATCATGCAGATAAGACAAGCAATACTTAGATGATGCTTGTAGCGGTAAGTGTGATGCTAATTAAGGTACCTTGATTTTGGTGTCAAACTGCCTTCAACCTTTCCTAGCCAAATCCTTGAACTAAGCAGCTTGTCTTAAAACTGCCTATAAGACCTACTCAAGATTAAGAATGATTTGAGCAGACATCAAGTTGAAATCTAACTAGTAATAAAGACAGCACAACTCTATATAAAACAGAAAACTAGGACCTACTGTATAGCAAAGGGAATTATATCCAGCATCTTATAATAATCTGTAATAAAAAATAACCAGAGGAAAAAAAATACATATCTATAACTGAATACTTTGCTGTACACCTGAAATTATAAATCAACTATATTTCAATTAAAAAATAAGAAACCAACACTGTTATCTTGATCTCAAACTCCTAGCCTTCAGAATAGTAACAAAATAAACTTTTCTTAAAGGAAAAAAAAACACACAAAGCAAGATTAGTGTTTATTTAGGTCAGAAGCAGGACAGAATCAAAGCAGAAGTTTGTTCTCCAAACTTTGCAAAATGAAGGGGCAGCCTGCAATTTCAATTTTGATAAATTAGGGAGATTCGATTTCCCTAAAAAAAAAATTGATTTTTATCTGTATTAGGGATAAAAATATGCCAAAAACAAGAGCTGAACTCATAGGTTGAAGTGAGAACCAGGGTAGGATTTCTTTACTTGTAGAAAGTACCTCCCTTTTCCCCTACTCCCAACACACAAACAAAATAAGTGTACTTAGGAAGATCTCACACTTATGGTAAATACACAGCTTGTAACTTGTGGGTAAGATGAGACACTAACTTGTTGGTGAATGAACCTCTGATGCTCACAGTATTTCCCTGTACAAAGATCCCTAAAACGCATGTGAGACCTAATTCCTAGCTGGGGAAACAGGAATCAGGTGCAGGCAATCACAATCCCACTCAACAGATACAGGTGAGCAGAATAGAAGAGAGATGCAAATTGAAGGGCCAAACAGAAAACAAATTTCCTCACAGAATAAGTCTTCAAACCCATTTCCTAAGACATAGAAGAAAACTATTTATAAGAAAGTAAACTTTAAATCAAACCACAGAGACCTTTCAAAAAAATCAATTTTACAGAACAGTGTAACAAGATATCAAAAAACAAACAAAATAACATTTAAATAAAGGGTGGATGAACATGAAATATTATCAGGGTGAATAAACCTTAGGACTAGGTCCTGTAAAAACAGCTGTAAAACTTGAAAAAAGTATGGTTATTGAAATAACACAAAATATAACTGTAAACGAGGTAAACTTTTATATAGCTATGAGTAAAAAGATAAATCATGGAAAAAAATAAATTTACTAATCACTATACACAGAGAAACAAACATGTATATAGTCTCTCGCCATCTTCAAAGAACTATATTAATATCGTATTTATGGAATCAGGTAAACAATACTTTTATCCTAAAAACTCCCCAATCAATGCCATAGGCAAAACCATTACCAAGCCTAATATTCTGGATTAAAACAATAAGGAAAATATTGAGAGCTTTTATATCTCTCCAGAACCTGCTTTCAAATAATCCTCGGGAAACAAAAAATAAACCACAGTGTTACAGAAAACACTTTAGTTCTGAAACTTATTAACAGTTAGGTTTTATCAGCTAATTTGAACTCCATTATACTTGAATTAGAAATACAATGTGGGTTAATCTGAAAGTGAAACTTCAAGAGTGAAGTTAGAAAAACAAGTAGCACGTATTAATGCGCACATGTGGAATCAAGAAAAATGGTATAGATGATCTTATTTGAAAAGCAGAAATACAGACACAGATGTAGAGAACACATTTATATATTAAAAAAACTTATAGCATGGTGAAAACGTGTGACTGTGGTTATTCATTTGCTCATATCTAAATCTGTCAATAAACGGGATACATACCTTCGGTTGTAAATGTCAATTAATAAAAGGTAGATACAATCACAGCTGTGTCTGCATTTCTCTATTACCCAAACACATTCTTATAATATATATATACACACACACATATCTTACCGAATCTAATTCAGGGATATCAGTTTTTTAATGAAACTTTGTTTTTTGTCAACCTTATTTACATTATCTGCTTAAGAATCTGTGGAAGAACAGCCTAAGACCACTCAGTGGTCGTTCCTACCTGTTTAGCGGCCTGGGCAGTGGGAGCTGCAGTCCAGTCCCTAGTGGCAGGACGAGAGCAGCAGTCTTCAGAAGAGAACTGCTGGATGGGCACAGACGGCACCTGCAGACCTGTCTGCAACCTCAGGCCGAGTAGCAGTAAATGCTGGAGCTGTCCGTTCACCCGAAAATTGCTCCTGAGTCACAGCTTTTCCAGCAGCCTCCCACTCTTCCACATCTCTCTGGAAGTAGAGATCAGGCCGACCTGCTCCCCGGGGCTCACGCGAGATGATGCGGCACTCACGCGAGATGATGAGGCGCTCACGCGAGATGATGCCACATGCACAGAACTTCCCACCTACCTCATCAACCACAGCAGAACTGTCCTGTGAGTTCCCTTTTTGTTGTTCAGGGATAGAAAAGTCCACATAGTGCAGAGGAGAGTCTCTGTGACACAATGATAGTAGGTGGGTTAACCCAAGACAGCTCTCAGATCAGTCTAAAGTAACCACAAACCGCAGGAAGTCATGGCTCCCAGAAGGCTACCTGGATCGCCTTAGGGAAGGTTCCAGCAGTGAAGCAGTCGGCAATATGGGCTGGCTCCAGTGGTAGCAGAAACTTCAGCACAGCTGCCTGGCTGGTATTCCCGGAGGACAAAACACTTGACATCTGCCCCATTTTCCATAGCAACAATGGCAGGAGCTGCAAGCAGAAGCTTCTCCTATGTCCTCTTTACTTGTATGAGGTAATTCCATCACTTTTTCTTTCATAGATGTACTGCTCTGATTGCTACTCAGTGTACCGATGGGTTTCTGCTGCAAGCGATTTGAGGCCATATCCTTCATTTGTAGGACATCAAGGGATCTGGTTCCCTTTAACTTAGAGATAAATCCAGAACAGTGCTGTATGGACCCCTCTCTGGATCGCACAGAAAAAGAGCAATGCCATTTTTAATAAATACAGAAAAGGACTATATTAGCCAAAAAAAAAAAAAAATGTTCAAAGCAGTAAATATTTTGGCAAGTATCAATCAATGCAAAAAAATAAGCCTGGTGTTCTTCTAACAAGTTAACTCTAATGACCTTAGTTTATCATGTTTACGGACTAGCAGTGATTGAACCTAACACTGTTATTTAAACAGGGGACATCAATGTGGCTTAAACAGCTAACACATTTTTCTGGTGAACATGGAAATATATCAGTTCAGTTCAGTCAGTCAGTCCTATCTGACTCTTTGTGACCCCATGGACTGCAGGGGTCACATGGACAGGCTTCCCTGTCCATCACCAACTCCCAGAGTTTACTCAAACTCATGTCCATTGAGTCAGTGTTGCCATCCAACCATCTCATCCTCTGTTGTCCCCTTCTCTCTCGCCTTGCATCTTTCCCAGCATCAGGGTATTTTCCAATGAGTCACTTCTTCCCATCAGGTGGCCAAAGTATTGGAGCCTCAGCATCAGTCCCTCCAACAAATATTCAGTACTGATTTCTTTTAGGATAGGCTGGTTTGATCTCCGTGCAGTCCAGGGGACTCTCAAGAGTCTTCTCCAACACCACAGTTCAAAGGCATCAGTTCTTCAGCGCTCAGTTTTCTTTATAGTCCAACTCTCATATCCATACATGACTACTGGAAAAACCATAACTTTGACTAGCTGGACCTTTGTTGGCAAAGTAATGTCTCTGCTTTTTAATATGCTGTCTAGGTTGGTCATAGCTTTTCTTCCAAGGAGCAAGCATCTTTGAATTTCATGGCTGTGGTCACCATCTACAGTGATTTTGGACCCCCCCCCAAAAAGAAAGTCTCTCACTGTTTCCATTGTTTCCTCATCTATTTGCCATGAAGTAATGGGACCAGATTTCATGATCTTAGTTTTCTAAATGCTGAGTTTTATGCCAAATTTTCACTCTCCTCTTTTACTTTCATCAAGAGGCTCTTTAGTTCTTCTTCACTTTCTGCCATAAGGGTGGTGCCATCTACTTTTATCTTTGGGCCTAAAAAAATCGAAATGATAATGTTAATAGCATTTTCAAAATAATTTGATTTTCTCATAAATTGAGAGGAGAAATATGTGTTTTTCATCACAATGGCCACTCACTGTGCTCCCTAATTGGGTGGGATGAGAAGAGAGTACTAACTAGAGAGTACTAACATTAGTATTGTTGAAATTACTAATTCTTTTTAATGATTTTATATTTATTTTTCATAGTTTATAGTCTAGGGACAAGGATGCTTTGTAAAGCTTAATTAATAATACTGTCTGCCTAAGGGACTGAATTACCTAGTGAAAACTAATCTTCTTGGAGTAAAAACTCATTAGTGTTGAAATCAGTGGATACATGTTCTATTCATTGCAATTCAGCTCATTTTTCCATGAGTTACACTGTAGATCTAAAGTACTTGGCTTCATTTTTTTTTTTTCTCAAAAGAGAAAATTTGAAAAGACCATGTAGTTGGCAGAGAAGATCCTGGGCTCCAGCAGTAGTTGGCCAGAGTGGCAATGAGGAAAGGGAGTTAACTCTCTGAGCCTCAGATTTACAGTCTAAAAAATACAGACTATAATAATGTTTGCCTTGCAAGATAGATAGCATTAAATAATGTCACATATTAAAATACTGTGGAGTGCCTATATATTGTTATCCATTGCTTTAATGATATGCTTTCTATGCCTACCAAATTTCAATGGTTTAAAGCAAGAAATATTTTTACATGCTTATAAGTTTATTTATCTACTGAAAGTTCTTTTCATCTGTGCTATACTCAATTGACCTCAGCTGGGTCTCTTCAGGAGCATGTGGTCAGTTGGTAAGCCAGGGAGGAGCTACCTGCTTTCAAATGCTTTAAGCTGGGATAAACTGGCTCTCTTTCATATGGTCTCATTGTCCAGCATTCCAGCATGCTAGCTGGTACTTATTAGCATATATTTTGATGATGATGCTGGAGGGAAGGGCATGAGACCCTCAAGTAAGAGTAGAAATGTATGAGAGTCTTGAGCCTTATTCTTGGCACCAGCATACAGCTATTTCTGCTGCTTCCTACTGCCCAAACAAAGTGACAGGGCCAGCTCACATCTGAAGTGTGGAGAAACTGATTCTTCCTCATAGGGGAGTTTGTGAAGGCTATTAAAAAGGGACATAAATACAGAGGGGAAGAGTTGGAAGCATATTTGCAATTAATCTACTACAACCTGGCCCAAAAGAAACAAAAAAATACTCTCTATGTGTGTATGTGTGTGCTAAGTCACTTCAGTCATGTCTGACTCTTTGTGACTCTTTGGAATATAGCTCATCAGGCTCCTCTGTCCATGGGATTCTCCAGGCAAAATTACTGAAGTGGGTTTCTATGCCCGCCTCCAGGGGATCTTTCCTACCCAGGGATCCAACCACATCTCTTGTGTCTCTTGCATTGCCAGGCACTTTCTCTACCACTAGTGCCACATAGGAAGCCCATTCTCTATCTATTAACACTATGTATGAATTAACTGCTAAATCCTCCATAAGGGACAATATTGAATAAATAATTCAATATTCCAATAATTCAAGAATCCAGAGTACTGATCTTTCTAAAGTGTAAATATTATGATGAGATTTCCCTTAAACACTTTCAAAGATTTGGGTTTATCTGATAGAAAGGGTGTTAGGTAGCTCACCTACCACCCCCCTTACCCAGATGTATCATTTCTCCCTCTTACCAGCCACTTGTATATGTCAACCAAAAGAACCATGAACTATAGAGAGGCAAAAAGGCAGTTTATTTGGTGACTTAGAACTGCAATTTGGGGGTCACAGATTCTGGAAGAACCCAGAATAGTGTCCCATCAGAGAAAATGAGTATGGGCTTCTATGGGGAAAAAAAGAGAGAGAAATTCATGCAGGCTTATACAAGTTGTTTACCAAGACTTGGAACTGGAGGATAAATTTGTACTACACATACAAATGGGTTGTGGAGCACATCTCTTCCCTAATGAGATAAAGGTGTGTTTTCTTTAGTCCAGAAAAAAATCCAGTTGTCAGCATTATTCTTTAGTTTTGCAATTCAGCAACTATTCAGTGGTTGATTTGAGTGTTTAGCCAAAGTGTAATTCTATTAGTAAATTGTTTGAGTCAGCCTCTCTCTTTATTTACCTGTGCCATCTATTCCTCTGAAGTGGCTGGTATTAAGAAAATCACAGTAGGAGGCTTCAGGACAAGATCTTTCCCCACCTCTTTATTACATGTATCAATAGCTTTAAATTACATTGTGATCATCTGTGGTTGCTGGTAATTATGCTCAGTTTTGAATATCTTTCAAAGGAATAAACATTTCTAACTCAGTTTTCCTCAAACTGTGGTCCTAGGACCAGCAGCTTGATCATCCTCTGAGAACTTGTTAGAGATGCAAAATTTCTGGCTTCATCAGGAATTTACTGAATCAGAAATGCTGGGGCTTCGCAAAGAAATTTTGTGTTTGCATAGTCTTCCAGGTGACTCTCTTGTTGTTATCTGTTTGAGAATCTTTGCTTTAACTCTTAATCTCTGAGTATGAAATTTAGTATGATGGAAATACATTGCTTTACATAGTTACCTAAAATTACTGACTGCCAGAGGGCTTCATAATAATTGCCCATTTCTAAGTCAGTATTAGATAATCATGTCTAGGCTTTAAAGTCTTCCTTAGGCCAATCCAACATACTATTGGCTTGGTTAAAAAGTTCATTTGGGTTTTTCTGTAACATGATATATACATATATATACATTGTATACATACAATGTATATATATACATACATTGTACATACATACATGTATGTGTGTATACATATGTGTATATACATATACACATATGTGTACACACATATACAATATATATAGTGTATACAATGTATATATATTATGTATATACCCTATTAAATTTTTCTTCATTTACTGTTATTAAAAGATTTACAAAAATATGTTATATATATTACTGAAACCCTCATTATGCTGCCTCATCACCTTGGAATCTGACAAAATGAACAGGAGAAAATTAATTTATCTTTGCTACAACCGAAAGACTTTTTTTTTCTTTTTGAATCATTACATGTTAGTTAAATAAAAATGATTAGACTGCACAGTATTCAAGGTCTGCTGCAAACATTAAAAAGTTATCAATTCTAAAAAAAAAGAAACTGCTAATTATAAATTTTAAAATGGGATAACTACATAAAAATATGATGCAAAGGATAGAGAATCAGAACATCCTAAAATTACAATGGGACACGGCTGCAATAATCAGAATATGTACTCATCAAAGCTTACTTCTACACTATAATAATAACAAACAGGACAAACAGATGAAACATACAAACTTAATAAAGAGGTAATCAATGTGGCTTCTACAAGAGCTGACTAATTAAATGATTTATATCTTGGAAAGCATGATCTCATGAGAATTTTACACAAATAATTGGACAGAACGCATCTGTATGGGGCTTCCTTGGGCACTTGCTTGTGAAGAATCTGCCTGCAATGTGGGATACCAAGGTTCAGGCCCTGGGTCAGGAAGATCCCCTGGAGGAGGGCATGGCAACCCACTCCAGTATCCTTGACATGGGCAGAGGAGCCTGGCGGGCTACAGTCCGTGGGGTTTCAAAGAGTTGGACAGGACTGAGCAACTAACACACACCCATATGGTGGGGCTCCCCAGGTAGTGGTAAAGAACCC